CTGCTGATCCAACCCCTCATTGCTCCCTTGGAAACCGTAAATATTTGGTAATTTATTGGCACAACCTTCCAGGCCTTGAATGCTTACGCAGCCTTCTCTTGCCACAGCGACCGAGCCAAGGGAACATGCACAAACAAGGGAAGTCTGGGTGCCCTGGGACGCTTGTTTGGACCCTGCTTTGTTCTCCTGAGCTATGTATTAAAAGAAGTAAAGTCCTAGTCAGTCCTTAGTGACCCTTAGTTACTACCTACTGTTAAACTAGTGAGGATCAGCTTATTATGGTCAGGAGGAATCTGGTTTGCCTTTGCAGGTTGCTCAGGCTTCATATGAGCCAGAAGGAAAACAAAATCTGAGGCTCAGAGTAGTTGAAAGAAAGCAGGATTAAATATAGCCTGGGAGGGAAGGAGGGGGTGAGGGAGTTTGGTGCCGGCAACTGCAAGTGCTCCTTGTTTCTGTGTACTTTCCTCTGCCCTTTTGCTCTCTCAGCTGACTGGTCTGCAGAGCTCAGCCAGGAGGAGGGGAAGGAGGAGGAGGAGGCGGCCTGGCAGCCCACACAGTTGCTTTGGGTCAGGGCTGGAATTGCTCAGTTGGAGAAAGTAAATACAGCTTGTTTTTGTCTTTGAATCATTACACAACAGGGGCAGGAAGCGATTGTTTACGATGCACTTGGAGAGGGCTGATGGAAAACATCAGCAGTGACGCTCTATCCTCAGAAGGGCTTGATTTTTAAGGCTTCAAAACTCTACAGAAGTGGAGTAGTTCTAAAAACAACCAGATGAAAGGCAGAGTCAGGAATGTGGCTGTTTACAAAAGGCGCCCAGGCTCCAGGTTCACAGCAAGTGGCTTGCTTAGATCTTGGTCTGCCACCCCATGCTGAAGATTCTACTTTCCTCAGTGCATGCTTCCCCCCTTTTTGTATTTTTGAGGTTTCTTTTTCCATTATTTTCTTCTGCTTGTTCATCTGCTTTGCCTTGGGTATATCCTGAATAAAATTCGTCATTGTTGAGGATGTAAAAAAGGGACTAGTTGAGAAATACCAGGGCTTTGAGGCAAGGTGTGTTGAGGGCACCGAGCGCTGACTTCTCCCGTGATTTCGAGTGCTGTTAGTGGTGACAGGGTGATGCTCGATGACCTGGTCCTGTCTTTGGCACGATTGCAGCAGAGCATCTTTGGTCTGGGTGCATGGGGGTAAAATCCGACAGTAACCCTCTGCATTCATGTGCTGAGCCTGGCTGTAGCCACCGAGGTGCTTGTCTTCTGTGTAGTCAGATCCTTCGTAGGAGCCCAAAACAATCCCCAGAACAAAGCTGTGGTTTGTGTCAGAGGAACAGGGTGTCCTGGCCGCAGCGAGCATGCGGCAGCCTGACAACACCATTGTGCTTCCTGTAAAGACACGAGTCCTCGGGAGCATCGGGCAGTGCTCGCGCCTCCCACTGCTCTTGAAGGGGCTGTTTTGAATTGGCTGCTCCCTGTTGCAAGGCTGACAAGAGGCTTCAAGCGTTGTTTTCAACACAGTGCACCACCAGTGTGGTGGCAGCCATGGATCTTAAACCTAAACCAGCCGGCTCACTGAGCGTCAGCTGGCCTCGTGCCCCCTTTTTTGCAGTGTGACACATACGCTGTGTCCTGTTGGTCAGCTGGAGCCCCTGGCTAGGTGACAAACTTAGAGGTTTAACTTTAGCCTCTCTGGGCTGAGGATTCCCATCCCAGGCTCAGCCCTATGGGAGATCCGCCTTTAGTTCTGGGAAGCCACCTCTCCGTAGAGGAAAGGCAGCAATAAGTTACGGCAGCGCGTGGAGCTGAATTCCCTCTCCTCTTGGCTTTGAGGAGTGTTGCCTTCTCTGGGGACTCGCCTTAGTGTAAGCCATGTTTATATGAGTTGGAAGACCAGCAGTGGATGAGTTGTCTTGTCTCGCACACCATCCTGTGCTTGTCATAACAGTTTTGCTTGTTGGTGGCTTGGAAAAGTGTCCTGATGTGAGGTTGGTTGATCAGTCAGTTTGTCATCGGCCTCTGTGCTTGCAGGAGTCATGCTCTAGCAGTTGTGCTTTGAGAGCTGGGCTTCCTTGAAGTGAGGCTGCTGCTGCGAGTTGATGCTTAGCTGCCTGTCTTGTATTAATTACTGAGAACATTCTGTGACGTGTTTTGATGTGGGGTTAATTATCAGTGTTGAAGAAAATACTGGTACAAGAAGAACTGAACAAACATCCAGGGCTAATGCCAGCTAGACATGCAGACCACAAATACTGTGTTTCTTTAATTATTATTCTTTTATATAACAAACCTGACTGGCAGCCAGGGTAATAAAACCTGTGTGTCCTTTGCTTGTTACTTAATTCTTTCTTCACTACAAGAACTTCAGATATCCCTCTGAGCCAGGAGGGTGGAGACTGATGAATCTGGAGTCTTGGTGCCTCTCATCAAGTAGTCATGAGCCACAGGCAAGTCATCTCCATTGGCTTCTATGTTCCTTCCTTGGCCAGACCCAGAGTCCCTCGGGAGGTGTCACCTTGTTTGGGTGACCTTCTGTGGTTGACCAGCAGTGCATAAAGACTCTTGACTCTGTGGTCTTGCAGTTGTTTGTTGCCTTTTGTCTTCAGAAGGCAGTTCGGAAATAGGCTGTGAGAGAAAATGAAGGAGTAAGTTCAAGACTCCTGTGTCTGGCACATCTCCCCAAATAGACCCTGCAAATCCGTGCATGTCCAGGCCTGTTTGTGCACAAATAGCAGTGTCCTGGGCTGTGCTAACTCTCTTTGTGCACGCACATGTGGTGTCCTGCATTAAAACAGAGTTCTGGCAGGAGTGCCGCTTCTTTGTTAGAGCAATTTGAAGTGTTGTGAGTAGTTCTGAGAAACTTGAGTGCATCTCTCCTGCCTTGGAGGCTTATAATTGCAAAGGTTGTCAAGACAGAAGAAAAGGTCAACCAAAAGCTAGAGGGAAGCCCTCATAGAGGACAGTCTCCTGAGGCTCATGCAGAGGGAACTTGCTTTTCTTTTTCCAAGGCTAGTGAACTGTGATAAAGCACTGAGCAAAAAAACCCGTTCCTTATCTGGAACTCTGATGTAAGTACTCAGTATGCCCTCCAAACACGGCACAGAAGGTATTGCCCATTTGCCTCCCATGCTCAGGAGGTGTAGTGAGTTGGAAGCCCTATTTAAAGCTGTTTGAATGCTGCTCATCCTGCGTGGCACCTGGCAGGGGTGATATGGTACTGTGCATCCAGAGAACAAGTGTCCTGACATGAATTTAGACTTCGTGGTTGTTGTGTGGCTCTGCTTGGCCCTTATCGTGGATTTGCCAGATACACATACTCATTCCTGGAGTCAGGCTCAACCATATTGAGAGATAGTTTGAAACTGAATAAAAAAATATAAAAAAATTAAGGTGGTTCCTATTTGTCTTTTAAAATCCGTTGTCAAGCTCTACTCTGCAGCCAGGAAGATTGGGATACACAAATGAACAAGACTGCTGAGATCCTTCTGCACTCACAGGCCTCTAGGAGCTGGCATTCAGAAATCCTGCCAGACATTAAACATCTTGTAATGAAGTTGTAACAGTGGAATGGATAGTCCTGCAGACCTCATCAGTCGCTCCGTGTTCATGTTGGTAATACCTTCCTGTGACAGTAGAGCACCAGGCTCTACCTACACCATGTTTCAGAGACACACTTTGTATCAGACATGAAGTTCAGACCAGTGTAGTTTTTTGGTCCCAGGTCATTCATCGTGTCCAGAGCCCTCTCTTCTTTTCAGACAGAAGTAGTAAAATACAACGATCAGAATCACTGTCAGGTTTCTGCATTGCTGCTGTCCTATGTAGCCTGAGACAACACCCTTTGCTTAGCAGCGAGGACAGCTTTCCCAGGGCACAGCTGGCCTCCCGAGCTCTGTCCTCCCTTCCTGGATGTGGAGCCTCCTCTTGCTCCTGCTGCAGTTCCACAGGCCTGCGAACCAGCCCTCCAGCACTCGGCAAGGACAGGTCAAGTCAGCTGTGGTGTGAGCCATGGACACATACATGGGGTGCACTTCCTGGTGGTGAGAGGTGGTGAGGCTGCTTCCTGGTCAGTCAGGTGGTGTGAGACCACAGAAATATTTACTGATGTTCATCTGGAATGACCTGCATAACTTCCCTGGGTCTTCAGCAGTTGCCAGCTCATCCCAGACATACTTGATTTCATACCATGCAGTTCATGCTCCACTGGTAGCATGTTGATGACGTTTCCAGGTGGTGTTTTTTCTTCATGGTGTTTTCTTAACAGTGTTCCTGTTGGTCACAGACAACAGGGCTGCTTGTAGAGTCCATCTGCTGCCCCAGGGCAGTAGCAGTGCCTGATCAGTGTTTGTCCAGTGTCTCCTGAAAAATGCTGTCCATCACACTACTGAATGCTGGAGAACTTGCCATGTGTTTTCCTTCTGTTCCACCATCTGTACTTTTTGTCCGATTAAACTCTTTTGCACCCAGGGCTGTCCTTGTGTCCTGTGCCTGCGCAGCACCCAGCACAGCTCCCTCCCATAGCACGTGTTCCTGGGCGCTGCTGATTTAAAAACGTTCATGTTTGGAAAGTCTGGCTTAAAATTTCCCACTGTTCTTAACTGCCATAACCAGCTCATCCCTCATTGCCATGGGATACAGGGTGTGCCCACGTCTTTGGGAGAACAGCTTGGGAGGGACCTCAGTTAAGAAAAACAGCTGAGATTCTGGTGTTTTGGGCAATTTGCAAGCTTTGCTGTGGGTACTTAACAGTTGAAACAGCAGTTGGAGAAGAAACAGGCAATTTCTGTGGCATATGCAATGCTACAAAAATACTCCTGTCTTTCAATAGGCCCCAGCAGTGCGATTTTGCTAGGAATAACTAATGGAAAGGGTGTGTTTTCTATCTTGCTGCCATCTTGAGCTCTCACATCCTGGCAGTGGGGAGAAGCCCAGCTTAAGCTCGCAGCAGAAGTGGAGCATGCACAGGGCTGTTCCCTCTGTGTGCAGGTCGGGAATCTTGCCTCAGCTACTTTGTCCCATCCTGCTTGGAGGCCCTGAGCTGCTGGAATCGGGTGTTTAGCAAGGAGGGGCCAGAGAAGAAAGTGCAGATAGGGACTGGGTTGTATAAACAGTTCTGGTTCCCTTTACATATAGGCTTACGATTAACTGTGGCCAGGTGCTGCAGGAAAGGGGAAACTCCTAACCTCAAATAGCACAGCTATAATTTAGAAGCTGCAGGAGAAGAACAAGGCTTGTAAAGTCAGAGCTGTCGTGTACGAAATGTGAGTGTGCAGACACAGCTAATGACAGGGTGGAGGGAGTGACCTGCTTGCAGTGCTGTCCGTGGCATGAACCAAGCTGGCATCTCCACCATGTCTCTCTGAAGACCCCGTTAATGGTTTTCTCTTTATTCCTATGAGTTAGATTAGACTACAGATACATGAAATTAAAGGTGCTATTTATAGCCATTCTTTGCTGTGTGACGTTGAAGATGCTGACATGAAACCAAGCATCAACCTCTAGCTCCCACTCTCAGCTGAGGAAGTTGTGGGTTACCATCACCTACTTCTTGCAGGAGATCTGTAGCACCTCAACTGTGGTGTGCACAGGAATTACCCTTGTGCAGTGTTTGAGGCGGGATAGATTGATTCCCAAGCCTGTTTGCTTGGATCTCCAAGGCTAGGATGGGACTGAATGTGCTCTTCAGCAGAGCTTCTGACGGCCTGGAAACAACTGCCTGGATCTTGGGGCACCTGAACAGCTTAGGTGGGGTTGATCCCAACTGCCTTCACAAATGAAGTTTCTGAAATGGGCATCTCCTGGGTAGAGGAAGGAGAGATTAGGTGCTTGTAGCTGCAATCACATGTACCTGCTGGAGGGATCCAGACGCCCTTTGAGTAAAGCAGCACCAGCTGTCATTGCCTGGTGGTGACCTGGAGATCAGCCCCTTCACACAGGGAGAGCAAAAGCTCTGCACACCTCTGACCTGAGGGCACATGGGCAGGTCTTAGAGTGGGTCGGGGAACGTATGTCAGACTTGAGGCTGGTTGAGAGCTTTGTCACTCCTGCTGAGCGTGGAGTCAGTGAGACCCGGAAGAAACCCTTGAGCTGGAGTTGGTGATGCTTCCAGGGAGCAAGAGGGGGTATCAGGCTGTCTTTTGGTGCATGCCGCCTAGACCTCTTGGATGCTTTGAGGTTATCTGCATCAGTAGCCATCGTAACATGCAAAGGCTGACCGTTTACCTTCAGCAAATTGGTTCTCAGACCCTTGTCATAATTACCCACAAAAAGTTCTGTGACCCTACAGGGAAATGCATGATGTCTGAGGGGGTTCATCCACTTGGCCATCTTACCAGATAGTCATGGAAAGAGATGCGGGATAGGGTGGATACTGAAGCTGGAAAAACTAGGCAGCCATGAGGACACAGCTTTCTGCAGGCTCTTTTAATGCCCAGCAAGTCTGAGCTTAAAGTGCTTATGCTGATAAGTGTTGTCCACTCGTGCTCTGGATCTGCAGCCTTTCAGATACTGTCCTGTGCATTGGGTGCTTGTGTGCTGGGTGCTTTCTGTCACTGTGTCCTTCAGTGTCACATGCAGTGCTGATTGCTGCCAAACTCCTTGCTGGTTTGGGACCTCAGGGGAAAATGGGCTGAACCACAAGGATAACTCTAGGTGCCCTGGAGCATTGGGGATGGTGAAAAGGAAACATGAGGAACTTCATCTTCAGTCACAAAACCCCAAACAAATATGCCTGAATTTTGCATCAAATCCAAATAGTCTTGCTTTGTCTTGCTAGCCCATGGAGTCCTACAGTAGAAAAGTTTAGGAATCCCTAGCAGAGGGATAATTTCCCTGAATTACCTTAAAAAGATAATTAAGTGCTTAAAAGCCTCCATGTTCTGGTGATTTTATAGTTGTGTGTCCCAAAAGAAACTCCAGTCTCTTCCCAAAGTAGCATCTAGCCAGTTTCAGTTTATAAGAAATAAGGTTTTATTGAGTGGTTAAAGGAGAAATGTTTAATGTTTGTGGGGAGAAAACACACTCAAACACATGCACTTATCCTGCCCTATCCTGGAGGGTTGTGAGGAACTGGGGCTGTGTGAGGCAGGTTCTGCACCAGTGACTGTGTGTGTGTGGCTGGAGGATCCATCACAGATCCTGCAAGACCCAGATCTTGCATTTCTAGGTGGTCCTTAGTTGTTGGCCTTCACCCCCTGGTTTTACCTCCTGTGATCCATGAAACTGCTTCCCCAGGGCGCTTCAGATGAGCTGTTGAAGGCTGTGAAGCACTTCCCAGGGTAATGGTAATGGAAAGGAGGAGAATAGGTCTGTAGTGTCCCAGGAAGAGCACACACAGACATATTTGGTCCTGGCAGGGCTTTGTCCTTTCTTTCCTGATGCTTTGGATTGTGGTAAGTGGAGGGCCCTCTGATAAAACAATGAAGGGGGCATTTGAATTTCTCCTGTAAGCTCAAAGAGCATACACTTTTATGTGCTGCCTGCTGTGTGTGTCAGTAAACATCATCTCTGGAGGAAAATGGGTTGGAAAGTGTACGAACAACTGCAGAAAAAAAATCCTTTAATTCATGGGTCATCTCCTTGCTTAAGTTTTTCTTCCTGTTTCCACGACAGGTCTAGAAGTACTTTCTGTCAGGCCAGTAGCTGTTGTAGGTGCTGTGTAGGTCTGTGATAGTGAAGGAGCCCTCCTTGGCAAGGCGGACTGAGGTGTTGTGCCAGATAGTGCTTGGAAGTGTGCAACAGGCAGAAGGAAATGGCTAAAACCCAGGCCCAGTTGGAGAATCCTCTCCTCTGGGGAAGCAGCCAGGAGACACAGAGTCTGAACTTCCAGAGCTGAGCCCCTAAAGCTGTGCTGCTGTGTGCTAAAGCTGTGTGCTGGCCATGAGGTGCATTTGCTTAAGGCAGATGTGAGAATACAGTTTTGTTATCCTTATGGTCTCACTTAAGTCACTTGTTTTCCATGTGTGTTGCCCAGTTTTACTGGGCAGGGTAGTATGTCTCTGGCCTGGGAGGTGGTTGGGGTGGTAGGAAGCTGTGAAGCTGATCACTGAAGCTGACATCTCCTGACCATCTCCCTGCTGCAAACTGGTCAGAAACTGCCCAATGAGCAGAACGTGTATTTCTTTGGCAGTGTCCCTCTTTGTCAGTTTGTGGTTTGCAGGGTGGTTGCCTTGGGCTGAGCTTGCACAGCCCCGTGTTTCTAACTTTGCTCCTTCACTTCTTTCTCTCCAGCGGATCGTTGTAAAGAAGTGCAGCAGATCCGAGAGCAGCATCCCAACAAAATCCCGGTAAGTTGTTCCCACTGTTCTGTGTTAGCCTTTGTTTTCATGATTCTGTGCTGCTGCTGGATTGCCTCCACCAGCCAGCCACGGAGGTTACAAAGCTTTGCTCCCCAGAATCAATGCAAGATGCTCCATAAGCCTCCCCTGCCTGGTGCATTCTGAGCAGTGCAGAGTGCAGCCTTTCTCCTACACTTCATGCCTGCCCTAGAGACAAGGAGCTGATTTGATCTCAAATCTCCTTCCAAGCTAATACAGCTTTGTGTGGGTTGGGTTTTGTTTGGGTTTTGTTTGTTTTCTGTAGTAGCTCCTTGGCTTTTCCTGGATAACCTGATAGGGATTTGTCTGCATCTGCCAGAGAAAGATGTATGAGATGATCTTTGCTGGATTGAAAGCAGAGACCCTGTTGGGATAATTCATACCACAATCAGTCACACACTTCCTGTGCTTTCCCATTACCTGTTTACTGACATGTGCAGGTGAGACTCCATGAACTTGACTCCAGTTCTTCCTGCCCATGTCGGACTTAATATGCTGTCTTGCTCTTTGGCTGTGAGTGTGCTTTTGATATCCTAGCTGAGTATTTGTTTCTCTTCCTGAAAAGATGGAGAACTTAGTGAAATAACATACCTGGGGCTTGCTTGAGTTAGTATTTGCAATACCATAGCATGTATGACCAAAAAGTGGGATGTGTCCCTAGTTAAGCTCACTCAGTGTTGGATTAGAATTGCATACAATCAATATTTAGCCTTCAGGGCTTAATTTCTCAAACTACTCTTGGCACATACTAGCCCATTCCTGCCTTGCTCTTCGTTTGATTTTAGCACAGCATCTTCTATCAAAAAGAATTTTCCTTCTTTTCCATGTGCTGTCAGCTCAGCAGAGCAGGACCTGACCTTTGCAGCACAGTGAATACCAGTGTGCCACATCATGTACATACTTACTGACCACTGCTTTTAACACAGACTTCATGGCATCAGGCTAGCTCTGCACTTCTCCAGAGTTGTGGCAGAGCTAATTACAATGCCTTAAGCTCTAGCAATAACGACAGGCTAGAAATAAGTTGTACATAAAATGCACATCTATCAAGTGCCTGTACACAAATGTGTATTGCCTGGGAAATGAACAGGAGGAGCCAGAGCTCTGCATTCACATGCAGAATTTTACCAGCATTACTGAACCATGGTGGGAGAGTGCTCTTTGTGTTGGGGTCAACCACCACATGCCCTGGGAGAAGGCTTCTGTGTCATCAGGATCCATCCACTGGTGTGGATGTCTAGGGAGCTGTATGTGTGTAGGATTAGCCATGGCAGAGACCTGAGCCCTCCCAGTAACTTCTTTGTTCAGTGGCCTTGGGGGCTCCAGCAGTGTTTGTGTCACTGGTACCTCTAAAGGCTTGGTCTTAGGTAGACCCTGACATCAAGTTTGATGCAGTCTCTTCTCTTTTACATAGCAAAGTTGCTGCAAGTCCACTGTATGTTACTTTCAGTGCTTGGGCTGAGCAAAGCCACGTACTGCAACGTGGAGCATGGTTCAGTGCACTGCAGCAAATTGGCTGTAGGAAGCTCTTGGTCCAAGAAGGTACTTGGAATTGGCAAAGGGGTTTGAGCCCGCAGCCCAGAGGGAGTTGGGGCAAAGATGGCCCAGGCCACGTTGTTATTGCTGCAGAAAGCACAGCAAGCTGTGCTGCAGCTGCTGCTGTCGTCCTGCATCTCCAGGTTACACTCGGAGCCCTTGGGTGAGTCCCCTTTTGCTGTGACAGAGGGCCAGGATGATCTGCAGAGTGCATGGCCTGGCTTTGTGCCCAGGGAAGAGCATCTCTGTCCTGTCTCCAGAAGGGGCTGTGCCCTGTACACATGGGGAGAGAGCTGGTGGGACGACCTTCCCTGGGCTCCTGCGAGGGGCTGTTCTGGGGCTGTCCCCATTTCCTACCAAAATCATTTTCTACCTCTTCAGACTGGCTCCAGAGCAAGGGTTGAGTTTATAAATGCTGCCCAAACTCCCTCTGCAATGGGACCAGGACTCAAGGCTCTGCCCTGAGCCTTTCCACTGGTGCCCAGCTCATGTTATTTCTGCAGAGACCTGTGGTGGGTTCTCACCACACTAAGAGCAGTGTCCCATGCTGAGTAACCCTTTGGCACGGGGCAGCAGCTTGGAACACGATGCAGGAGGAGAGGTGGCTTTGTATACAAGCCCTGTGGCTGCAGGGATGTAATATTAGCATTTGATCATGCATTTCCCTCCAAGCTGGACAAGAACGTTTTGTCCATTGGCCACCTGTTCCCATAGCTGGTTACCCAAATAGCAGCTCATGTTCTGGAAACAGAAACTCCTGGAGCTGTTGTACATGAGAAGCCCTCTGTCTGCTGAGGACACAAGGCAGCTGCTGCTTTAACAGCCAGGACATCCTTCTTGGCCCATTCTTGGACTAATTGAGAGGCTTTCCTTTGTGGGATGGACCTGGCTGGTAATAAGAGATGTCTGCTTCTGTTCCTGCTAGATGCAAATGAGAAGTGAGGCGTAGCCCCAGTGTTCAGAGCCCTCTGTGCGTGGAAAGGTTGCTGCAGAGCTGCCCCTTTGTGCCTCTGTTTCCCTGTGGCCAGAGCAGCATCCCTGTATGTGGCTGTTTTAAGTGTCCAGCCCCTTGAGACTGTTCATCCCCCTATAGCCAAAGTACTCATATGTTCAAGCAAGACAAATGAAATACAGCAGGATGGTTCTGCTTCTCTTTGTCTTTCAGCAGTTAGAGTTACGCTGCTGCTGCTGGTAGTGTGTCAACAGATGATTAATGGAAAGGGAAATCAGTGCCCCCAGAGGTTCTCCTGATCCTTTCGGCTCCACAGAGCCATCTTCTGGGGATCCTGGTCCCTGCATGCTGCTCTGTCCCTCCATTGTCCAAAGGCATTTGCAGTCTCCCATATATTTTTGGAAAAGACCCGGGAAGGTGATTTATGGAACTCCTTCCCTTATAGTGAAAAATAATGTTGAGTCTCAACTCGGAGAGGACGATGAACTGATGAGGTCTCTCTGTGGAGAAAATAAGTAGGTATTAGAGAGATGTGAGAGTCAAGAGTATCACTGTAATGGAATGGATTGAGCTTTATAAGTAATAGCATTACTTATTTTAACTGCCTGCCACCTTATTCCTTGGAATAAAAATAGGTCATTTCCAAACTGGTTTAGAATGGCAATTGTAGCTGTCAGCAGACTCCTTAACAGAAGAAATTCATTAACTGTAATAGCAGGAGAACTGAACAGAAACCATTGTTTAGCCCTTTCAGAATGTGGTAAGAGCTTTCCCAGGCAAGGCCTCCTGTAGGGGAGGACAGGCTGGGCTGTCCCCATGGTGGCACCGTGCTGACGTGCCCTGGAAGCTCACCACGCAGCTCATCCCTTGCGGAGTCCGTGTGTCTGCACGCTGGAGTGTTAACGTGAGGAGCGGGACTGGCAGAATCCAAAGTCCCCCTTTGTGAAGGAAAGCCTTGGGTGGCTTCACAGTGATTTCTAAACCCTATAAATATTATAAACTACTGTAATAAATACTATAAACTGAAACCTCAGAATATTGTTTGGGAATATCCACAGCTCTTCCTGAACAAGCAGGGCGGTGCTGAACAGCAGCAGCCCAGAGTTGTGGTCAAAAAGGGAAGGAAAATGTCTCCTGCTGTGCACCATGAGTTCAGCCCTTAGCTCAAGCCAGCAAAACCTGTGGTTTTGGTCAGTCTGAAAGTGATGTTAAAATAAACCTCACTCCTTTTCCATATCTCCTGCATGTCAGGGAGGTAGCTAAATCAATCCACTAATACCAACTGTTTCTCAGCCAGCCAGAGCAATTGCTGTTTTAGTTCACTTACCTTGGATGCTTTCCACTGGCTCGCTCAAGCAGAGGTGACTTTTTGCTGAAGAGCTGTCTGCAGCCAGCCCGATGGGCACTGCTCATGTCCTTTTGTTGTTTTCCTGTGAGGGTGAAGCAAAGTGGGGCCTCACCTCAGCTTTCCCATTTGTGTAGTTTGATTTGTGCTTGACCTTGAGGCCAGTGCTTGGGGCACTGTGAACTGTGGCTGACCCTACCATTGACTTTCTCCACAGGTCATCATCGAACGCTATAAAGGGGAGAAACAGCTGCCAGTGTTGGACAAGACCAAGTTCCTTGTCCCAGACCATGTCAACATGAGTGAATTGGTCAAAATAATCCGGTGAGTGCACTGGCTCCAACTGACAAGCTGTGAACCTGTCCTCGCCCACAGGCCCTGAACACAGGGTATCGGGTGAGAAGGAGGCAGAGGAAGCTGCTGGGGGTTGGGATGGGGACATGACAACCATAGCAGCCTTGTGTTGTGGTACAGACTCTTTGGGGGGTGGGGGGAGACAGGTTCTTAGCATCTGGTGAAGGACTGTGACCTCCCTCATAGGAAGCTGATGAGGGGGACTCCAATCCCCTTCTTTTATAGACTCATAGAATACTAACATGGTTTGGTTTGGAAAGGACCTTAAGACGATCTAGTTCCAACCCCGCTTCCATGGGCAGGGATGCCTCTGTATCCTTATGGAACACGCTTGTCTGCTTTGCCCTTGTCAGCTGCACTTGGAGA